TCCACATGGTCTATAGTAAGTCATGTCTTGAAATGCAGAGCAGCAGCGTGGTGGGATTGCAGATGCTGGGAATGCTGCTCTCACAGGCTCGAAGCTCACCTGTTACCTCTGGTGCAGTGAAACCTCTTCTCTCTGGCATTGTAGTCCTGTCTTGTAGCAGTCTGTGTTGTGTTTGTCCCCTGTGCACTCTCTCAAACAAGTATGATCCAGTGAACATGGATAGTAGAGGAAGAGCCTGCAGGGGATACCACGCTGTTTAAATCGTGGTGCTGTGTTTGAATAAATAATTTGCAACTGGAAGGCAGGCGTAAATTAATTGTTATTTGAATAACATACTTACTTTCCTTTTTCTAAAAGGTGTAATTCTTTATGTTTGACTTCCATGATTACTTTCTCTAAATCACACTTCAGGCATTGCAGTAACTCATCTCAAAGCCTAGCATGGCAGAGTAGGATGAACACACGTTTTAAATTCATTGCCATATATTTAAATAGCATTTGTCATCCTGCCTTCTTTGCTCTGAAATGAAAGCTTGGAACGAGCTGCATTTGGACTGGAAAGACCAAACATTTACAGGAGACATTTGTGGATGGTGGGGAGAAAAGGAGGGGAAAATCCCTTAATTTGACGACATGCTTGGGCATTTATGGCTGGTGGATGAGAAGGAGCAGGAGGGGTCTGTAGTTATGCCATCCCCACAGAAGACTTCAGATTGTTGGTGTTTTCATTAGATGGTTGTCTTGAAAGTAGTTTTTAACGAGGGCCACTTATCAGCACATTTTAAAACGTGACATTTGTCTTTGGAAAATACCACATCCCCCAGCAAGAGCCCATACCCAGGGAGCCCAGGCAAGGAGATGCTGCTGACTGACGTCAGACACGTCAAAGAGGAAAGTATTTTGGGCTTTGCTTATGAAGTGGAAGCCAAACCATGCTCATGTTGCAACACTGATACCCCATTGGCACAGGGACCCCCGGGGACCGTGGGGTGGACTTTATCCACTGTGCATATTTGCTGTTCCCTGTTGATATCAGTGACCATGGCAGAGGTATGTGATGGGTATAGTGGAGTGGCACAAGTGTCTTGCAGAAGGGCTGTTTTATTGGCATAAGTTGAAAGCAGCTCGAGATGGCTCAGAGACTTTTCCTTTTCTGCACTGTGACTGGAGAACATGGGAGGAAGGAGCTGCTTTGGTTTTGTTTTGCCTGTGAGCCCACTAGCCCTGCAGCAGCTTGGAGTGGTGGGGGTGCAGCGGAGCCTTCGTGGGGCCTGTACTGGGACCCCCATTCTCCAGGTTGCTTAGGGCCTTGAAAAGCATCTCTCTGCCATATTAAGGCCCGGCTGCTTGGCCCAGGCTGCAGGGAGGGGTGCCAGCTGCCTTTTCCAGCTTTTCTGGCATTTCAGGAATGCAGGTCGCTGGCTGAAGCTACATTTCAAAGCTTTTAACCCTTTGGTTGGCTGCATTCTGCATGCCTGAGCGTGGCCACCCCAGAGAGGGGCACAGCCTAGGGGAGCTGATGCCTGAACACACCAGGAGGTCTCAGGTTGGCCATGAAGAGGCAGTGTGTCCCAAAACATCCATGCCACACAGCACTTTGTCTCTGGCTATTTGGACTTAGCATGTTCCTGTGTGTCTCCTTTTTGTCATTCACGATCAAAGATGTGCAGCTTGCACTGCCCACTGCCTTGCTGCTTCAAATGATAATTGTGTAATGATGCAAATCATTCATTTTGGGTCTAGTACATACCCTTGTACCTGGCCAGGTGGGAAGCACCAGGTGGTGATGCTTTGTTTCTCCAAGGTTGCTTCCTTCTCTAGTAGACTTAATCCCCTGGGAAGAGTGATCTGAGGTCCTCACCAAATCCCAGCAGAACTTTCTGGAGAACAATTTCAGTTTTTGGACATGAAGTTATAGAGTAACTTGTAGTACTATTGTAGTAATGTGTTCCTCCTTTCTGTACAACAATGCTTAGGCTACAGAGATTGTCTCTGGCAACTGTTGTATGGATTTCAGAAGGGATTTCACTCACTCAGACCCAAGCTATTGTGTTTCTTTATATAAAACTGTTTAGGAAAGATGTTGTATTAATTTAGGTATGCACCAAATGGGCTTGGTCCTGCTCATGCTAAAACCTGTGTGAGTTTGCTTGTTAAATTTCTGAAACCACAGGAGACTCTTCAGCAACGCACTTTTGAGTTCCATTAGTGTTTTAAATTAAATTTACGGTGATACCAAAGGCGGTAATTTCTTTGGCATCTAAAAAGTCATGCGTCTTCTGGATGTTTACATCCAGTCTCCAGATGTGTTTGTCAGGTGGGCACGGTGGCAGTAAGGGACTGTATGAAAAACAAGCAGCAGGATTAATGGTTTGCTGCTCCCAGTGCTTTGTTCCCCTGCAAAAAAGTTCAGCCTAAGTATTAGCAGAGCCGGGCAGGTCTGTGCTTGCGGCAGCAGCAGCCTCTTCCCACGAGATGGTGCTCGGAGCATGCGGCCAGGCTGTGCCAGGAGCACAGCCCCTCTCCTGGACATGGGCTTTGCAGGCTGGCACCCAGCCTGGCTTGCTCTGGCCCCACTTGTCCCAGTCACTAAGCTTTCAGCATACAACAAGCCTTCTAATTGCATGTGTGAGGGCTTTGCTGAACTGGGAGCTATTGTGTCTCAGGTAAAGCTGTGTTTTGTGCCTCACAGGATAATGCAACTATTTAAAAAAAAAAAAAAAAAAAAAAAAAAGAGAGAGAGAGAAGTATTTTACAAAATACTGAGTCCTACCAGGAGGCCCCAGCATGGGGACAGGTGTAGAGAGCAGAGCTCTGAGTATGGTGCTGGTGCTGAAGTGCAGGATAGTGGGCTGACTATGCAGGCAGCTGCTCTCATGTTGAGGAGCTAGTGGGGCTTGGGGAGACCCGAGTAGATGTCTCTGCTTTGCAGTGACACTTGTACCTGGACAAGCTGTTTATGCCTGGAAACAGGAATAAACACGGGCATAAACACATAATAAACAACATGTGCCTCTGTTGTAGGCACATACACCTCCTTCTCCTGTTCTTTTTCATCTGTCATCTCTTTCAGGGCAGCATCTCACAGGCTCGTCAGCCATCAGCAGGGCTGTGTATGGGGAATGCCCAGCACTGGGGACTTGGCTGGAGATGCAGAGCTCCTGAATATAGAACTCCTGCCTTAGAGTGGAAATCAGGCTCACTTTTGTATTTTACATTATGTGAATATTTCAGGTCAGGGGCAGATTCCTGCTGCACCAGTATAGATTTGAGGTTGCCTTTGCATTCCAACATGTCTGAGTCAATCTCATTCCTAATTTAGAGTTTAAGTAGACCTTAAACCAAGCCCCTGTGTGTCCTTGAAACCCTCAGTGTGTCCTGACAACTCTTGTGGCCAAATGTCCCTGTGCCTGTTGCTTTCCCCACTAGCAAAGCATCCTCCCTGAGTTGGCCCCACCATCCTCCCGTCTCCCTCCCCTTCTTCAAATGCCTGCTAAAGTCCTACTTTCAATCCAAAACCTATGTGAAATGGGCCGACTGTCATTGCCCAAGCTTGCCTGGCAGCGTGGGGATGAAGGATTAGCTGGGCAGGGGAACAGGGAGCTGACAGACAGGAAGGCAGCCGCTAGGTGCTGGGAGCTGGTAAAAGACGTGGTATGTAGGAGACGAGTGCAGAAAGGAATATTCATCCTGCTTACCCACAACACTGGAAAAACAGATGTACAGTAAAGCAGACTGGTACTGGTGTTATCTTGGTGATCTCACTTTCGTAGGCTGTGCCGGGGTTTGGCAGCGCCTGCTCTGGCTGACAGTTCTTGGAGACGAGGACTTGTTTTGTGCTCGAAGTGTACCGTGGCCTGTCACTGGGGCTGTGATGAGTACCAACAACCCACAGCTCGAGAAGGCACCCGTGTGCTCTGTGCCACTGCTGTGGCTGCAGCAGGCAGTGCTGGCAGCCGAGTGCTCTGGTCCTGAAGCCGAGTTTGAGGTTGGTGTGGATGTGCTTGTCTCATGTCTGGAGCATCATGAGCCGTTACCCCGGTCTTGACTATAGGAATGCGTTCCTCTGCAGGCAAGTGAGCAGCAGCCCCTCTGTCCCTCTTCCCCTCACTTTTATTACTCTGATAAACTTGGCCATTCCATAAATCTTGCAGCAAGTGAATGGATATTTCTTTCCTAATTGCCAGTGAAAAAGCTGAGTGCAAGGTTGGCTGCCCTCCTCTGTAGAGTTGCCCTGGCAGCTTAATCTGCTTTATGGGGGCTTTGCTGACTTGAATAATACCTGTGTAAATCAAGGTACCCCATGGTGCAGAGCCTAGCACCTTACCAAAGTCAAAGTATGTTCTGTCTGAGCAGTTACTTTGATCCCCAAGGCTGGATCTCATCAAAGACTGAAATCAGGATTGTTTGACAACACCTATTTTCCATTAGCAATGTTGACAGCATTAATTATATTCTGGTGCTTTAATTCTTTATTATTGAAATCACACATCAGTGATAGTCATTATTTTGCAAGGGGGTTGATGTTATGCTAATCAGCTTGCAGTTAACTGGGTCATCCCACTCATTTTTTTTTTGGCTGTGGGCACAACACTACCACTCTTGTACTGGAGTCTCTGTGGTCTGCCAAGATTCATTTTAAACAAACATGAGCAAGCCAGAATTTCTGAGCCAGCTTTTTTAGGACTCTTGGGTGCAAGTTATGTGAAAATATTTATCCCTGTTGTATACTGTTTAACATCTTCCTTGGTTACTAATGGACTGGAAAGGAGTTCATTGTCCTCAAGTGATACAACTACATCATCTTGCTGCTTTGCAAAGTCAGAGCAAAAATTTTTATAGGAATCTTCTGCCTTTTCTTTGTCATTATTAACTGTCTTGTGCTTTCTGTTTTAGAAAGGGATGATGCTTATCTTGGGATTTCTCTTGTTTTTACTGAACTTTAAAGATCTCCTCTGTATTAGCCCATCACATCATGGTCTCTGTTCTCACTCCTACAGGTACAGTCCCCAAATCACAAGGAACGGAGCAAAAGCTCAGTCTGGCAACCATGAGGTGAAGATGAAAGGTCTGGAGCCAGTGATCAGCCAGATTATTGACAAACTGAAACACATCAACCAGGTTTGTTGCAGACGTGCCAGCAGGGATGGCTCCAGAGTGGGCGGTTTCCAAATCAGTTTGGCCTCCCCCACACTTTCTTTGGGCTCAGCCAGACAACCCAGGGTGTCTCCATCTTCAGCAGCTCTGTGCAGAGCCCTCTGTACAGAGCCACTGCCACCTTGGCCCTGCACGGTACCAGGCTCGCAGGGCACACGTGGCAGGTCCTGTTGGATACATGCTGGTGTGATTCTCTGTGGGTCAGTGGGAGCTGTGGGGTATGTGCATTGCAGCCTTCTAGGGCTCAGCCTGTGCCTGGCCAATGTGTGGATGCATCCCTGCTTCTGCTGGGCATCTGTCCCCTGCACAGTGGAGGACCAGGAAAGATGGAGCTGCCATGGTCCCCCTGAGCACAAGGTGCTGGCAGGGGCTGTGTGGCACATGCCTGATGTCCCCTCTGGTCAGAGGAATCCCATTTGGTATTGCTCATGGCTGGCAGAAGGGATCACCTGTTTCTTTGCTGCATCTCCCTGGACATCCACTCCCAGCAGCTGCTGGGGAAAGTTACTGTTGAAAGGGGAAATGGCAGGGCTGGATGAGATCCTTTCTGCTGGGGAGGAAGCTTCCTTCCCACTGCCTCAGACCTGGCATCCTTCCTGGGACAAGCAGTATCTTGTCTCTACCCATCATGCCATGCCAGATTAGGTCTGTGAACAAGCCCCACTGCTACCAGGAAATTAGGTGGCACCTCTGTACAGTGTTCAACTTGTGGCTGTCCTTCCACAGAGTTCTTCCACAGCACTGCCTTGGGCTGGTGGGCTGGGGTCCAGCTCTGGACATGCTCTCCCCCATCTCTGTCACTGAGTATGGGACGCTGCAGTAACTCAAAGAGGGGATGTTTTTCAGGAGGCAGATACCTTGGGCTTGCTACTTTACTGGGACCCTACAGGTCCCACACGTTCAGGTGGAAACACAGTTAATGCAGCTGAGCTGCCCAGTCTCTCCTGAGAGAGCTCTTACCAGTGGGGGACCTTGTTCAGGGTCTCTCTGGCATGCTCTGGGCAGCAGTGAGTTCCCGGGGTTAAGCCCAGCTTTGCTTCCCGGCCGGGTGGGCCGTGAGGGCTGCTCTGTTTGGAGTTGCTGTCTTAGCAACTTTTCTGCAAACCTCTGCTTTCCTGCTCCTGCCACTGCCAGGGACTGTTTTCATAGCTGTTCCCGGTTTAACCCCAGTGGCCTGTGATGCAGGCACGCCTCATTAGGTGCTGTCTGGGAGTGGGATGCAGCGAGGGATTTGGGGTCCCCAGGAACGCCCCAGCATGCGGGAGCTGATGTGGGCAGCGGCCCTGCAGCCTGTACTGCCTTCCCTCACGGCTCCCCGTGCCGAGCGGTGCCATCTGCCAACAGCCCATAATTACTAAAAGGGGAAAGGGGGGGGGAATAGCATAATCAGCTCCCTATTAAATGGGATAGAGGGCAGGCTTCAACCTGCAGGTGATAATGATATTTTGCCGTTCACAGTGAGAAAGTCGCACTGAACAAAACATGGTTATTAGTGTACTTGAAACTGCTGACATAAAGTGGTTGTGAAATGCTGGCTGCCAGACTGGGTCAAGTTAGGTCTTTGCTGAACAGCTCAGGCTGCTGAGGAGTGGAGATCTGTGGAGTGGGAGACCCTGGGTAAACACTGCTGAGCCCTATTCAGCTGTTTGCAGCAGCAGAGTGTCTCTTGTCAGCTGCTGCTCAGAGAAAAATAGTGGTAAGGGGGTGAATATGGTCACCTTTAGTTGTGATCTCTTTCAATGCTTCCCTTCCTTGGCTTGTAGGATCAGGTTGGAACATATTATGGGGGGCAGGTAAACTCTTTTGGTTTGAACAGTGGAAATTAAGAGTCTGAAAAATATTCAACACTCTAGTAAAGTTGTGTTTGAGAAAGAGGAGGAATTGAGAATAAAATCAGGAGAAAATGGGAAGTGGTTTGTGAAAATTAGTTATGAAGCTTGCCCAGAAAGCTGTGGATGCCCCATCCCTGGAAGTTCAAGGCCAGGTTGTACAGGGTTTTGAGCAACATGGTTATCCCTGCCTATGGCAGAGGGTTGGAACTAGATTATCTATAAGGTCGCTTCCAACCCAAACCTTCCTATAATTCTATGATATGATTCTGTTCTGTGGAGAGTCTGTAGTCTGTGATAAGTAGCTTATAAATGGTGAAAGTAACTGCAGAGGTGACTTAAATTTGGGATCTGGGGTGCCAAAATTCACCATCACACTTATTTTTTTGACCTAAGAAAGTTTTGAGCTCTCTTTCACATGCGGAATGCATCTTGAATGCCAAAGAGTAGGAAATGTGGAAGGAGCCGCAGCTCTGGATGAATTACAGTTGTGTTTTTTAGGTGTTGGCTTCAGATTTGTGGAGCAGTGGGGACTCCTGAGCTGGGGTGGGGTGAAAATCTCCTTATCCAAGCAGCTCAAGCCAACAGTGGCTTTTAAGGATTTTCCAATATCCAGGATTTTTTTGGGGAAAAGAGCGTCTTTGCAGTGCTCAGAGCTGTAAGCCAGATTCCCCATGTGACTACCCGTAAACTGTGAATCTAGTACAGTGCTGTGGCTTCCTCACAGTGTGTTGTTAGAGATGCAGCCTGGATTTTGTGGGTGCGGGCAGGCTCAGAAACCATGCTAGTTGGTGCAGTTCTCATAGAGTCCCAGAGATTTTACCTGTAGGTTTTTGCTAAAATGTCTGTAATTTGCTGATGACTTGGCTTTGCTTTATTCCAGGCTGCTCACACTGTTGAAAATGTCTGCTTTCAGCAGTTCGCCACACTTTTGAGCTTGCTTGAGTTTGGCAAATGTGTTGTGTGTAGAAATCGTGCTCGTCCTTTAGTTCATGTCTCCTCAAACCAAATCTAGGTAAATGTGCACACACACACATGAGAAATTCTCATCAAACATTTGCAGTTTGAAAGGAGAATGGGGTTTGTGCATTAGAATTAAACCTGTGGGAACTGAAAGGATTATAGAAAACCTAACCCAGAGAGAAGGGAAAGTGAAAGTTTCCCAGATTGATTTTTTTGGTTTGAGCACCTTCAATCAAGCTGAAATAAATAAATAAATGAATAAAGCACAGTGCCTGAGTAGTATACTGTCTCAAGTCAGCCCTTTCTGGATGAGTCACCCTCAGTGGTGCCTATTCATTACATCAGACCATTTTTGTTTCACCCAAATGTGTGATTGTGGCTGATGCTATTTTTCGTGTATTGGTGGTTGAGATGGTTTATTATTGCCATATTGAAAGTAGATTTTTTTTTTTCCCCCAGTTCTGTTAGATGTCTACCAAGTTTTGATTTGAGTTATTTTTGTTGTGTGCCCAGAGGCATGAACAGCCCATCCATAAATATTAGCATTGTTATCTCAGCTGGGAGGCTAAGGGTCACCTTCAGGAAAATGAGTTGGAATTGGTTCCTAACTTTTATTTCCCAGAGTGGATGGGGTCTGTTTCTAGCTAGAAGGGTTTTCACTCATCCCACACGTAAAAGTATATTGAAACTGAAAGGTTGTTCAGTGTCAGTGCAAGGTCTTGCTCAGTTTTTTTGTGACTCGGAACCATCCCTAGGCAGAAAGCTGTGTGCGAGGTGAGCTATTTCCTCTGGTCATGCAATTTTCCTCCCACCACTGGGAGACATTTGGATGGCTGACAGATGGGTAAGAGCTTCAAGAGATAAACATGGAGTTGGGAGCTGTGGTGTCCCATGCCCCACAGCCTGGGAGCTCTGCCACATTGGTGACCTCCTGTTGATCATCCTCCTCCATGAAAGGCTCTGGAGAGCGAGCGGACCTGAGTGATGCTGATGTGAGGATAAAGCAGGGATCTGTAGTACCAAATTGGCTGATATGACACTCTTGGTCTTCTCTCCTGTCCTTGTCTGTCCTGAGGTGGCTTTTGTGCCCTCTCCAGTGCCTATGGGGCTCTGACACCACTGCAGCAGATGCTCTACCCCATCCTTAGTGCAGTTACCTCCTTTAGCTTGTGCCCAGTTCCAATCCCTGTTTATGTTTAGTTAAATCCTAGTGTTTATCACAGTACTGTCTCGAGGAAGAAGAGCACAATTTTTTAACAAAAGGAGGGAACGACCACACCAAAAATGAATACTAAAATCCATAAAAGGAAACTTAACTGGGGGAGATGTGTCTTTACAAAATTGAATGGCCTGGAAACATACTGTACATTTCCAGACACTCGAGTTAAGGGCTCATTTAGAATTTTTCAGATATACTAGAGTTTGACAGTTCTTTGGTTTCCACATCAAACAATCTGTAATTTATTGCCCCATATAGGGACTGTGTTTTTATCATATTGCATATTCTCTAGCCAGAAATCTAACTACCATATAAGCTCTTGAAAAAATAAACCCTTTGGGGATGGGAATCCAGGCAATATGCTTTCACAGACCCTGAGAAACTCCCTTTGATTTATTTCCTTGGAAATAAGGGGAAGACACAATTTCTTGGAATGATGCAGCTGTTCCCCCAAGCAGGGTCTTGCTGCCTTTCTTCATGTGCTCGGTGTAAAGACCTGGGCCCTGTGGTGAGCCCCATGTGAGAGACCCTCACGTTGCTCTTCTCTGGGTTTTACAGGGGGATGGGAACAAAAATTCAGAAATTTTATGAGGCAGTAAAACACAGAGCTATAGCTGGAAGGGAAAAACAAAAAAAAAAGCCAGGAGGCTCAGAGGTGCGACTGACCGAAGACAAAATAGACTTGAAGTTCGCATTAAAAGCGCAGCCCGGGCATTTCCAGAGCTGTGTTTGAAGCTGGTTTGATCAACCAATATGTCCCATATTTGTTTGTAGGTTTAATGGGCTGTTTCCCGGCGGCCTGGCTGCTGGGAGAGGGCATGGTGGAGGTCACCCAGAAGTTAATTTGGAAAGAGGCCAAAAGGCCACAACTTGATTGAATCAAATGTAAACAAAATAGGCCTGGGAACGGTGTGATGCCCTTGTGCCTGAGAGTCCCTTGCAACCCCTTTGCT